ATAACCTTACACGCAGCGACCCNTGCAACCAAGTGGGCCTCCTAAGATAGACCATGAGGCTGTAACATCTGTGTTTTGGGACATCAACAAGTGTCCGGTTCTCCCTGGCCATGATGCTCGTCTGGTTATTAAACGGTTTTTGGAGACTTCAGGCTACTCTGGTCCTCTCACCATCACTGCTGTTGGCATACTAACTGACATCCCTAATGACATCCTGAGAGGAGTCTATTCCAGTGGAATCGCTCTTAGTAACGTCGACAGTGGTTAATATCTTTTTCATCTTTATGCATTTCTATAGTAATTAATTAATGGATAGAGTGTGTCTCAAGTCTTATTTTTCTGGAACAGGTGCCAGTGACATTCCTGATCTTATCCATGAGTTTACTGTTAGTGAACCACCTCCAGCTAATATAATGGTCATATCCGATCCGGGCTCTTATCTTTCTCGCTTCAAACCATCGGGATACAACTGTATCTTTCAACCTTCTCTTGAAAGCTTACTTGTGGCGGATTTAGGAGTACTTGAGGATGATAAGTGCGGTGAGATGCGTGATTGTATCTGCTGGGTTTGCTCAGAGAGCTCTAGTCTTGCTTTCCAAAGCTTCGAAGATTTCACCACGCATCTCGCTAGTAGGCGACATCAACGGAAGGTAATCAAGTGATCTTGTTGTATCAATCAGTACATTTTGTGCATTTGTAGTTTTGTTTACCCAATTTTCACCTCAAAAATGTGCATTTGTTTTTCAAGCAGTTGTTGGACTTCGTGCCACATAATGTTCGGATTTCCCGTAGGGAGTAACTGAGGACCTGGAGAAGAAGAGTTCACTGGCCCATGGTGAATGATTTCTTCTGCTTACTTTCAAATCTCTTTCTACTTAAAAGCACTATTTGTGTGTATGGAGATCGGAACAGGGTTTTATATTTCAAATTATCAATAATGTGATGTGATATTTTTATCTAATGATGAAGTAAAAGTCTGAATGTTGCATAGTAATGCCGGTTTGTTCATAGTAAATCATTTTTGATACGAAATTTGGTTTGCTTATCCCTTTGGTTTTGTCAAGAGAGGAAGAACAGAGATTTTTTTTTACTTTGGTCCTGATACGTTTAGTGAAGAACATAGATAGTTAAACACACTTTGTGTGTATTAAAATTATAGAGATGATTAAGAGAGAACAAATTATGAAATTTACGAAAACGAAAATATAAACTTTTTTTCTTCAATAGGAATAATCCAATCTAACAGGTATTTGATAATCATGTTTAAAGGAAGCAACACCCAATGACCAAAATTAGACTTGGTTACCACAGACCTAATGTGGCTTCTAATACAAGATGCAGCTTCTCATACCTAGAAACAAAAACTAATAATGTTTTCACATTATAAAAACTTAGTAACCACAATCTTGTACCCGCAAGCCTATCAAATAGAACAAAAAAATAAGTGCATCATGTATCAGAAAGTCATGTTACCATGATTCTTTTAATTGCACATCAATCAAGATGTTGTTGAGCATAGGTCACGATGCCGACAGCAGCCTGTGACAACAAAACCCAACCAATCAATAATGACACATAACAAAGATGGTGAGGTGGTCGAAATTAGATTCAAAAAAAAAAAGATGTACCCCATGCTGGTGCAACTGATTATTTATGTGTATATGATTCTCGACAACAGCAACTGGGTTGGCATCCATCATCCTGGACCGTGCACCTTCAAATATCATCTCTTTATAATGCAGCGCTTTGCCATAAACACGGCACTAAAAAGTTGGGAATCACACCATTAACAAGGAAGTCAGATCAATGATTGGTAAGAAACTGAAAGAAGTACCATATCTGATTTGACTAGAGAGTACATGACGCATAACCTTTTCTGCAAGAGCCCCCAGGAGACGAATATCAATGGGAAGAGGCTTCTCATCATGTTCCATAAACTCTGCCTATGTACAGTATTGAGAAGAGGCTTCTCATCATGTTCCATAAACTCTGCCTACGTACAGTATTGAGAACATCAAGCACAAGTTACAGGACAAAGCAACAGGATCACACAAGGTTCATTTTGATTCAACATATGATTCTTTATCAATCCTAGCGTAATATAGGTTAAATGAAACCAGCGTAAGCAGAGATTTGGGGCACTAATGTTAGATTGCATCATGTTTCTAAGTACGCTTACAGATTGTTCAGTTGACGACTTTGACAACAAAAAACGTGTTTTATATCCTTCTAGTAGAAAGGATAAAGGTGCAATCACTAAGGAAATACTGACCTAAGCAGTTTTTGTTTCCAATCCAACAAGCTGTAGTCAACTCATTCTGAACACTATGTATTAAAACACTAGCACAACCATAGTTACAGGAAACAAGATTGCCGTATAGCGAGTGACTTAAGTACAGGAAACAAGCTCACTTTCATGTCTTTCTTTTCTAGTAATATAACAAAGAACGTACCAAATTGAGTAGTGTTGCCAAAATCTCAGGAGGGATATTTGGTGATGAAAAACCCGTCTCCAAGCTTCTAACTAACTGCTTTTGGCTAGCCTCGTTCAGCTGTGCCCAGCAACTAACAAAGCCAGCGGCGAACAATTCTCTTCCTTGGTGCTGCGTTGTGAAGCTTCTCCAGCTGTCCGTAGACTACCATCATTCACCTGTTAGACAGATCATCATAGGCCACAAGTGACACTTTAAGCTTTGTCAAACAACAAAAGACTAAAGAAACTTTACAACAGGATCATGTAAATCAAGCACATATATAGTTTTTGTTTGTTTGTATAAGCTTAAGGGATGCCCATGGAGAAGTAGAAAAAGAGGGGGCATGTTCACCCTTATTCAGCTTAGCATCCTAGATTAAGCAATCACCCCTAGGTTTGTCTACTCATGGTATTGTTACTGATCTTTGCAACAATAAGTGCAAGATGCAGAGACACAATGAGTTCATACCAAAAATGACTATGTCATGAACTACAATCTATTGACCAGAAAGCTGTACAAAGTTACCGCATTTTAACCCATCAAAGATCCCTATGTGTATATAAACGACACAGCAAAAGAGTACCTGATGGTTTCTGTCATTTCCATCTTCAAAAGGATCGATCTCATTCTCAATCACGGGATCCCTGATAACCTCGACTGGCAGTCGCCTACTATCAATGGTTCATGTCTACGCCATCTAGCGTGAATTTCCTCAAATTCTTTATGCTGAAAAATTGTTGTACAGTGAGATTTTACAGACAAGTATATATACAAGAGTGGCGTTTATATGCATGCATGCCACTATACACATACACGACAGATAGATTTCAAGTGATATTATTATGTAGAAGATAGTGCATCAACAGCATCCTTCCGCAGCTCGTCATTCTTCCTGAGATAACAGCAAAGATTCAACAAGAAAAAAATTTAGTACGAAACTGAAACCACTAGAAAGGAAAAGAGAAACTTGAAATGAAAAGTCCACCATACAACTATTTAGTCACATCAATAACAGCAACTAACATTCCATGATGCAGAGTTCCAGAAACAAATAATCGGGGACATACAAATTTATAACTTAAGAGCAATATAAACAATCATGGAAAAAAAATTGTAACAGTAAGCAATGACACACTGAAAGCTAATGATAAAAATAATAATTAAATCAATCTGATACTGCCTTGCCGACTCTACAATGTTATGGGTTTCGCAACTTAAATTCACTATCCTTAACTGACACTATATAGTTTATGGAGAAAACCAGATAGTGACACAATTGCCGAAGTATAAAAATCATAACAGAAAGACCTTACGAAAAAGTAACCAAGCATCACAGATAAATTTCCATAGAGATCAATTACAACTATTGAGCTTTTCAGTTGTCATGAAACGAAGAAGGAAACTCACCCATCTAATACTAGTTTCAAGTGATGCACAAGGGTGGAGATATGACCAGTAGTAACCTGAGAATATAGCGATAAATTAAAAGGTATTACAAGAAGCTCAATATGGAATATTTTCCGGATGAGCGACATAAGGAAAGAAAATAATTAAGTAAGAAAAACAGCTCCTAACCTGAACACACGGTAATACTCTTGTCAAAGTTTTGATGGCATCCCGTCTTATAGCTACAGGAGCATCTACTTTAAACAATCGAATAAGGGCAGGAAGGAGTAAATGCATGTGCTCATCAAGTGTACCTGCGCATATGGACACATGAGGGTCAACAATCAGGGTGAAGTCTGGTCATAGTGTGAAAATTGAAATTATGGAGTAACAACCTGAGTATTCAAAGATCCTATATAGACAAAAAAAAACCTTGGATTTTCTCACTAATGAAAAAAAAAATGCGTATAATCAAAACTACTTGAATAATATTACAATACAAGATATGATACTGTCAAACTTCGTTACCGTCCAGTAATAAAATTGCATATGTTAATTACTAAAACTTGCATGTCCACATAATACAGATTAACTATGAGAATGTCAAAACAAGAATGATTTTACTGACCGCCAAACACTACGAGCCTGTGGAGAATATCAGGAACATATATGTAATCATTAAACCGCGTCGCCTAATACTTGGATGAAACATGGAAGGATGACCGAAAGATAAGTTCTGAATTCATCATTAAGTGCCAAGCAAAGATGCTCCAGTAGATGCAAAACCTAGAGAGACAAAGTAATCTCCATAAGATATATGTCCTTAAAGCCAATAAGAAACATATTGCTTTCTAGGCAGCAAACAACTTACTGGAAGACCACGTGAGGGGCGTACAGGACCTGGCAGGGTGAAGGATGACCATAACTCAGAGATTAGTGAGAGCAACTCTGGCAGATACTTGCGTATGTGCTGTAGAAAGATAACATTAGCTAACAGTTCACATAGAGTCAGTCGTATTCTGGTCACTCCAACAAATACTAAGGAGGATATAACTACCGTTCGATGGAAACAAGAGTCCCAAGACCCCATCTAATAAAGTCCTTCAAGTTCTCATCAGAAGTGCGAACAGTGTGAAACAGCTCAGGTAAAACCTTTAAAACATAGGTGTACCCACCCAACAAATTAGCAAAATGTAGGAGGATAGATACAATGCATAAAAAATGAAGACAGTTGCCCTAACTCGTCAAGAATAATAAAATTCACTCTCAATCAGAACAAAACATCAAAATCAACGTACAGTGTAACAGTACTCAATAGCAGTGTAATAGGTGTACATATTCAAAATCAAGGAACCAAGGAAACAGCTTCAATAGCATGTCCACGAAAAGACACAAAACATTGATGCTGGAGATACAATATTTTATATACCTACTTTTGGCAAGTAAGGTACGCATCCCAATCCCATTGACTAACCTCGCAAAAACAAAGATATGATATATTTTTTACGTATTCATTGCAATTTCATCAAATGTTTATCCCAAAAAAACAGTCAAAATGGTTTTAGTTACCTTGAAAATGATCATCAGAGATCAAACAACCCTTTTGTGGTAACTAAGAAGTGATGCATCTCTAAGAATCCGCATTAGCGAGTTGATAGCAACCTACATCAACGAGGAAAGTAATATGAGCACAATTCAGACTACATTTTGCAAAATATACACAAAGATTAAGAACTACCGTTGAGTAATAATCCTCAGATGTAGCAAATGATGGCCGGAGTTCCACAGGTAGCTCATCAATCAATGGACTAGGTTGACCTGAATCACCAGTGCCGCGAGCAACTTCACCATGTGATCCTGATAAGCTTTGTTGATTACGCTTATGCACATGAGGATCCAGAGCGCCCATAATTCCAAGAACCTGTAGATATATCCAACGTTTCTCAAAAAACTTGTGTCGTAGAATAATCTAGTCTAGAAATTTCTCTCTCTACAAACTACCTTGAGCACTTCTCGTCTGGTAGACCACACTAAGTCACCCTTCAGCAATTTCAAGAGTAAGCCAAGCAACAACGGGTATTCCTGGTAAGGAGTCACAACATACCTACATTAACAATGAAATGAGAGCCATAAATAGCCTACAGTCGAACTCCCTTGATAATGTATTAGATACCTTCCCAATATATAATACATGAAAACCATGTCCTAAGCTACTCAATGCAACATGCAAGTTAACCATCCCACTATCTACAAATATGTCTACAACCTCGTCAACAACAACAATACAGTTGATCAAATCTAAGCAACATAGTATACTAGGTAAACCAATCCTTTCTGCATGACGAAGGGAGAATGACAAGACATTTCAATGTATACAGAAAAACTAGAGCAATATTCCATCTCTAGGAGTAGTAAGCAATCTAATGTAAGAACACCAAGACACCATCACAAAGAACTGTCGTGGATAGAAGAAACAGCCAGGGTCATCAATCTTCAAAGAAATAAACATGTAACCGAATGTGACATATGATACACAAAGACAGAGCAACAGCCTAAGGATAGCTCAGGCTTCTAGTTAGCTAGTAAAAAGAAATAGAAGCCCTATATACATTTTAAATATTCACTTGCAATCCAGTATTTCCATATAGTTAAACCAGGCTTTCACCAATCAAGATAGTAGCATTTTAGCACGTTAAATTGCCTAGTAACATTATCAAATAAAACAAAAAAGAGGTTTTTAGGTCCTAAAAGAAGGTAAAAGTAATCCCCATACCCTGTACTTTGAACAACTTGACCAAGGGTAGAAACAGCCACCTCACGTTTTGCTACAGCAGCTCCGTCCATTAATGCTTCAACAATCAAAGGCATCAGCTCAGGAATATATTGTCTCGTTACCAAGCCACCCTGAGCAAGCAACGGAAAACCAAACCACGGGTGAATGTCTTGGCCAACCCCCAATAAATAACAGTACTAGAAAGGAAATTATTGTGTCATCACTCTGTCAACTTAAAGACAATAACAGTGTACATATTAGATACTGGCTAGGCCATTGAAATTTGAAATATGCTTTGCCAACACAGCTGGGAAGAGTCAAAATCAGACTGCAAAATCCATGTGCAACAAAAGCACTCTTATAGAAACAACAAACTTACCACAATTATATTTCAACTTCCCACTCTTGCACGATCCCCAACAGTTGCGAGAACTCCAGTAACAATATTATTGTTAGCGTTCACTCCAGTTCCTTCACTTAAGTCTTGCAACAAGTGCCTAGAAAAAAAAATGAATTAGACCGCGTGAATTACAATGATAGTCATATTATTCTAAAAAGTGAAGAGAATACAAATCTAACCTTTTGCACAGGAGCTACATATGGAAGAATGAGCCGTTCACAGTTTCGAACTAAACAACCAAGGAGCTTCGCACTCTCTTCTCTGCACTTGTTATCTGCACTGCTGACATTACAGTTGAAGTCAATGCAACAGATACTTTATAATAGGGAACGAATCTTCATGTAGGAATTCCAGAAATTTGTAGTTACCTCAGCTCAAGATAGGTTAACAGCTGTATAAGATGGCAACGAAGTGCTGGAAGAACGTATGCTGGATTTTTTTCAGATAACCTCCCAGCGACTGAGATGGAATATTCTCGGACATCAAAATCCTGTTGAATAGAGATACTCAAATATATCAAAACGGCTCCATCTATTAAGACAGATAAAGTAGCCAGGTGGGGTTCAACATAAGCCAAGTAGTCTAAGTTAATAGAATGTTACATGGATGCATTTTGTGCATCCAACATAAGACATGCATTCCATAAACAATTCATTCAATTAAGGTAACTCAGCTGCCGTTTTCCACTACAACTTAATAAATAAGACTATTTGTGACATAACCGAAGCTACTTAGTTGACCAAGACTCCAGCTAACTCTTAGTATCCATAAGTAGTGTTATAAGGGAGTAAATTAAGTCACTCACTTCATGAACCCACAAAAATGAATTCCAAAAAGCAATACAATTACAAGTCATCCGTAAATCACAGGTAGATCCAAGGAATATATCAAACCACGGTAGATGGATGTCTAATAGCATGACAATGGTGGAGTTTGAAACATCATACAGTCATATATTGTCTAAAACTCTAGTTTGAACCTACTAAAAATATACACCCAAGGGAGGAACTGAAAAGATCTATGATGCTACTTTATTCATACAGTCATATATTGTCTAAAACTTTAGTCTGAGATATATGATGCTACTTTATTCAAACATATAACGTAACTATACCTCATAATTTAAGGAAGCAAAAATGGCAGTCAGACTATCAGCCTGAGCTAGATAATCATCGAAACATTGGTTTCCATATAAAGCAACGAAAATAGACTTGCGAACAGTTACATCAGCATCAGCAACAGCTGTCCTGAGAAGCTTTTCCACAATCTGCAGAACCCAAACATCATTTCTCAGGTAAGCAGAAAAAATGCCATCAGGAAGCAGATTTAGCATACTGGAGTTCAGACTAGGAAAAGGGTAAAAAGAAACCTATTTTAATGAGACAAGTGAAGATTAGGGACCAGCAATAAGAAAAGATGAAAAGGGCTTTTAGAATTTATATAAAACCTCTTCCACAAGGCGCCTTCGTCTTTCCCCCAGCTCGAGCTGACCTGTTAGAACCATATGGTCACTGTACTACATCGGACCACGGTAACAGGAGACTTTGCTTGAGAATAATGAGATCTTGATAGAACCAACGAAATGCAATCTAGAAGCCGATCTTGTATTGGCAGCAAAGAAGGAATGCTGAGACCCATAAGAATTGTCAGGGATTAAAAGTATACACATTAAGTCATAAACTCTAATACCTGAGATGCCATGAAATCATACAGCAAAAAACAATGCAAATTTTCATCTTCAAGAGTCATTGTTTAACTATAGACTGAGAGTGTAGAAAGCTCTGTAACGGTGGAAAGTACAATACGAAGACAAAGAAAAAGCAGAAAATAATTGGAATAAACAAGTTCTTCTAAGGGAGATATTCTTAAAATCAATTTTTGAGCATCTGACTAGTCGAAAAGTACACTTACAAATTCATTTCTGCACTTACCTCAACAGCTCCCCCACAGCAAGTAAGGAACCATGAAATACTATGGACTGGAGCATTTCTCCCCAACCCATCCTGTGTAGCTTCAAACATTTTATAGTACCTGCAAACGCCAGATGGAGAGAAGATCAGTTAACTTGATTGAATATCATAGCAAACAAGGAAAATTGTACCAATAAATTAGAGACATAGCGTTGGCAACAATATACAGTATTTAAATCCAGTAGAAAGTAGGCAAGCCAGAGAACATAATTCAATTTGACAAGAGCTTCAAGACTGTTAAAACCCTTGAAAGCAAGACAACCCAGCTAGACAGAGTTCGTTACATTTTTCATCTACTTCATATACATTGAGACAACATTGATCATGTTATATATGCTAAAGAAAATATCACCATAGGGAGAATATATAATGTCAAATCTCGTCCATTGTTTGAGGGACTTCAACATAAAAAGCCAATATAACTCACATTTACAAATTACACAATAAAAAAAGCATAGTATCACCAGACGACCTTGCACTTAAATGAAGGTGAAACCACATATCAGGATTGCAAATGAAAGTATAGCAACAGAACAAAGAAAAGTCCCCCTTCATAAGTATCATATCAAATACGGTACTATGGTTCCTAAGGAAAAGATTTAGGATGTTTGATCATTTTCAAGGGAAAAAAAATACACGAACCATTGTACTCGCCATCGAGTCTCCCTTTTCTCAATAACACGAAGGCAGGCACGCAAAGCCTCAACAGCTCGCTCTCGCACTTGCAACTGGGGATCCCTTAGCGCAACCCAGATCGCGTCCACGAATTCAGGGGCATGGACATTAAAGAGAGTGGAAGCATTTTCTGTCATCTCCTGCAATGTTGCAAGAAAATAGTCATATCCATATTAATTTACTGGACTGCAAAGTTGTCATCACTACATTTATCCAACATCCATAATCCAATTTCTTTGTGATTCAGAAATCTATTAGTGAGTAATCAAAGGTAAAAAGACATGATTTCCTGAAGCTGCCTCCTCTACATGTTTCCTAAACGCTAAAGAAGCTCCCTCCTAAATACAACACACACAAAAACCCAAACAAAGTCGCATATTTCAGCAAAAACACAGCAAAATCTAAAAAATTGAATCTAAATTTCGAATCTTTCCATTAAAAAGAACAAAGATACGTTCTGGGTTTCAACTAATTTCAATTTTCCAATGGAGGTAAAGCATAAAAAATTGAACATTTACCTTGGGATTACCACGGTTACAAAGGTCTGCGATTACACGGTTCAAAGTATCGAAGCTTCCACCGCCAGTAGCGGTGGCTGCAGGGCCACAAAAGCGGTGCGATTGCGATGGAGAAGACATAGATGTAAACCGTCCAGCCGCAAAAGATGAAGACATAGCTGCAGGCTGTACACAGCCGCGAAAAATCTCCCATAAACCCTAAATCTAACCCTCTTTTGTTTCTTCAACAACAACATTTGAGTAAAGAGAGTATGTACAGAGGAAGAGAGAGAGAGAGATTATCTTCAATACATCACATCGGGGAGGGAGAGAGAAGCGGATATCTCAGGAGAAAAATTGGATTTTTATTTTTTGGAAATTAGTATCTAATATTCTTCTAATTCATTATCTAACATCCTACAAATTAAAATAAAATAATTAACAAATTTGTTGAGTTTCTATAAACAAAACTTTAA